TTTTTTTTTTTTTTTTTTTTTTTTCTGTTCTCTATTGTTTGTGTTTACAAATCCCAAAAGCTTTTATCGTCAATATTCCTAAGCAGTGACAACAGTGGCGGTGACAACAACAAAAATGTTGCATTGTCTGAGTTGTCAATGTCTTCCTGACTGCTGACAAAGTTCGAATTACTGAGTGAGAATTGCTTATAAAATTTACATAAGAACCAAGCTTTTTTTTTCTCGCTTTACTCATTTATTTATTTTTTTCCTCCTGTTTTTGTTCAGCAGTACGTATATGGTGGTATGACAGTGGTGGTACTGAAAAATGTGCCCGGATAAGACGTTGTCAATTTAATGACAATTGTCATTGAGCTTTGTTTTATATGGGTATATTAGGTAGGTATATGTATGTAAATAACTACAAAAAAATAAAAAAAGACATACTATATTGAAACACCTACATTTTACATGTGTATTTGTATGTATACACGTATTTACATCGTATACATATACACACACATATCTGTTTATATTTGGTTAGATGAATGTACAAATCTTTTGAACAAATTTGTTGAAGATACTTTTTATTCCGAGAATTGGCTTCTTTTTTTAACCCAATTGTCTAAGAAAGCGATAATCCACATTTATTCGGCCAAATACAAGATTTAATCTACCGTACCAACAATACGTTTTCATTTAAAATCTTATCGATTTCACACACCAACAAATATTTTTTTTTTTTTATCTTCTCTGCTCGCCCCTAAAAATTCTTCTTTTTTCCCTTCTTTTACTTACTACCGTTGATACCACTGCTGCTTACTGACGATTACTGCTGATACGTCAACATCACCGTTATTGTCGCCGTCGTCCGCCGTAAACGTTATGGTAGTTGCAAAACACACTTTACTGATTCTTTTGGTAATTAGTCTCTAATACACTTTTGCCTTTTTTCTTCATCATTCAACAAAAATCATTTCTTTTTTCACCTTTTTTCACCGCTTCTCAGCTCAACTTTCTTTCTTCTGGCAGCCAGATGAAACTATTTAGCGTAACACAAAATTTGCTATTTTTTAACAAACCAGCCTTATTAGCCGTGTTCAGAGAGAAAAAAAAACAACAACAAGAACAATTAACTTATTATCGTTCACCACTTATAGTTTAACCAGGTTATTCGTCTATCTAAACGATCAATGAAAAATGGTAATAAAAGAAATTGAGAAAGATGACTGCCAGAGCCGAAAATAAAAAAAAATAGAAAAAAAAAGAAATAGGATTTTGAACTATAATTAATGCAAACAACCAAAAAAAAAAAAAAAAGAAACGAAAAACTGAGCGAAAAAGTGGCGAAAAGAAGAACTGAAGACGAACTGTAACCCAACAAAACAAAATTAAAAAAAAAAAAGGCAAAGAAAAAACTATAAAACTGTTTTTTTTACTTTTGAATAACCAATTTTTTCCTCTACTTAAAATTTATCGGTGCCATTCAAAAATGATGAAAACTGTTCAATCGTCATAAGTGCATGTCTTTTTTTTTTTCTACAATTTAGGAGTTCCAGAAAATAAAAACCGGAAATGTTGATTGATGTCTAATTGTAAGCATTTGTTTGTAGTTTTAGATGTTCCATAGGCATATAACTATAAGTTTATTTATTAATTTTAATTATTACATTTTTTTGTCAACTTTTTTTTTCTTTTTTTTTGTATTTATTTGGTTCATCAAAAAATTATATTTGTTGGTTTGTTAATAGAGAGCAATACAGATGAAGCAGAAAACGGTGAAACAAATGAAGAATGTAACAAAGCGAAAAGAAGAAACAATGACGAGAAAACTGATAGTGATTGGTATAAAATAACTGAAAAAGAACCGCACACTGAGTATACTTATATGCCATAAGCTGCTAGCCAAAAAAAAGAAAGAAAAAGGAGCAAATAAATAAATAAATAAATAAGAAGAAAAATTAAAAAAGGAAAAAGAAAACAGTAAAAAAATGAAGAAAAGCAAATAACAGAAAGAAAGAAAAAAAAACAAAAGAATTAATGGAATTGGACCAGTGTTAAAATAGAAAAACACCAAATATTATGCAAAAACAAAGTAGATCAGACTAATGCGTACAATTTTTTTCCCTTATCTTCCTCTCCAGGAAAGTGTTAGCAAAATAAAAAAGTAAACATACAATTAAGCGTACAAAATATGGCAACTTTTAATCATACTGACTGACTGATACGACGACAGGTAATGTAAGTAATGTTTAGCAAGGCTTGAATAAAGCAAAAGTAGAAGAAAGCGCGAAAAAAAAGTTTGGAGAATATAATAGTCAAAGTAAGAATTGAAGTAGAATTAAAAAAGAGCAAAAAAGCAGAAGAAAGAGAAAAAGAAGAAACAAGAAAGAAAGAAAAAGAGAAGAGTAAGAAAAAGAAAGCAAAAACAACTGAAAAGAAAGATAAAGATGACGATAATAATGACGATGACGACGACGACGACAACGACGAATGGTAACGCGCTTAAAGTAAGGAACACTGCTAATTCAATTTGAAAACCACACATAAGCTCTATGCATCACTCAAAAAGCGTTATACAAATATTGAAAAAAAAAAAAAAACAGCCAAAGAAAAAAGAAAATCTTCTTAAATTTTTTTCGTAATCTATCGAAAAAAAAAAATTTTTTTTTTTTTTTGAATGAGTTATTAAAATAATATACAAATATGTGTATATATATACAAAGTATATAACATTTACAACAAATTTCGACCAAATATTCGCACACATTCACACAGAAAAAAAAAAAAAAACAGGTGCTATCGATCTAACAACCAGTTCCAGTAAACTTTTTTTTTTTTTATTTATTGATCAAGAAAAAAAAAAGTAAAAATGTAAGACAAAAAAAAACTAAAGGAATTGAGCATTTACAGATTGGACTTGTATAATCAGTACAGAAGACTAATTTTACCCCAAATATGGATGTGTCCAAATTCAGTATAACACTGAGCTAATTTGACACATTGCGTCAGCTAATCTTTTTTTTTTTTTTTTTTTAGACTTCAAGAATCATAGACAGTAAAACTGATAAAATACCAGCGATAGCGAACAAAACAAGAGAACAAAGCACAAAAATTTTCTACAATTTTAAGCCTAAAGTTTACAGTGTAACAACAACAAAACGAAAAAGATATCAGTCATTTTTACCAAAAACTATAACACTACCACTGTTTTAATAACAACCATAATTTCTTCCTTTCTTTTTTTTTTTTTATTCAACACAAAATTAACTGATCAAATTGGCAGATGGATAGTTGGATAGACAGATTGTTAGATGGCCAAATACATAGGTTTTAGAGAGATTTGCTTGGGCAACAACGACAACAATGACGACAACGACAGTAATCTAAAGTTGCAATAATCAACTAAAAAGCAATACTGATGAGGAGGACAGTGAAAAGTGGTCGTCGTTTTATAACAATTTGTGTGCTACAGAAATCACACTAAATAACAGGCAAAGTATTAACTACATATTATTAATTAGTTGTAATTTTGAAAAAAATTAAAAAATTTTTTTTTTTTTTAGAACCAAAAGAAACTGAAAAAAAAAAGAGAAGAACAACAGAATAACCAAATAACAAAATCGAAAACAAAAAAAAAAACCTTCTATTTTAGTTACTAAAACGCTTCCAAAATGAATAAAAAAAATTATTCATTTATTTATAAATTTTTATTTTGTTCGCTTGTTTCTTTGAATTTCTAATTAAAGAATTGTCAATAAAAATTCGTTGAAAAATAATAGAAATAAAAAAAATATTTATAAAATAAGAAACAAATATAAATTGAAAATTTTTTGAAAAAAAATTTGATAGCATTAAACGATTAATTGCTATGAATTAGCTTTATCGTTGGATAAAGCAATTGAAGTCAGTGTCGTAGCAGTTGGTAGTGTTGACGTTCCACCACCACCACCACCACCGCCACCGTTACCAGTTTTATTGCTGTAACCAACTTCATCATTTGTGGATAATCGTTTTCGTTTTGTTACCAGTGATTTTCGAGACGTATTTTCATCATCAGAAATATCGTAATCTGATTCATCTGAAGCGCTCATTTTCACTGTACAATTTGCTTTACCATCACTTTCACGTTTCTGTTTACGGTCTTTTGCTCGTCGGTTTTTAAACCAAACCTGTAATAAGAAATTTAACCATTTACATCATTGTCAGTCGTATTAAACCAATCAGTCACTTGTAGCCTGATACTTAGAGACAGTCAATGTTGAAAACAGTTTCTTTAAACGTAACCAACTGTATCGACCAGCATTACAACAGCGAATAAGTGATATGTCAACCAAATCAAACAACCAACCTCAACCCGTTCTTCTTTCAGCGCACATTGTTCAGCCAATTTTTCTCTCAACATAACATCTGGATAATGAGTTCCGTGAAAAGCATTTTCCAGAATTTGTAACTGCTCTTCGCTGAATATTGTTCGATGACGGCGTTTCCTTTTACCGTTGTAGTGCAAAGGATTGAAAGGTGATATTATTCCGGGACCGATACATGGAAATCCTGGAGCTGCAAAAAAAAAAAGGATTCTATCCTTAATCTT